TGCTGCTTCAAACTCCAACGCCGTTGACAGTGCATCCACCAGGACCTTGGGACGGGCTAGGCGCAGTGTTCTCTGCAATTCCTGGTCTCTCATTCCATCGACAAACGCTTGGACAGCTAGGCATTCGAGTACGCTTTCAGGGGCCGAGGGATAGGCAAAGCGTACCATCCGTGCAACGTCGGCTTCGAACTCCTGGATGGACTCACCTGCCTTCTGTCTTCTATTCTTAAGTTGGGACTGGTAGACTTGTTCCAGGTGTGCTTGGCCGTACCTCATCTCTAGACGCTTCACCAGTTGATCGAAGTCTTTGGACTCGTCCGCATGGAGGGTCTGCAGGACATCTAAAGCATCACCACGTAGGGCAACTGTGAGTGCTACTGCCTTCTCCCCAGGGGACCATCCGTTGGCGTCGGCCGCTGCGTTGAACTGCTTGAGATAGTTGGGCCAGGAGGTCTTGCCGTCGAAGGTAGGTGGCTTCATTCTGGCTTTGGTCTCACCTACAGCGCCGAAGTCTCGTCGATCTTCACCTCTTGAAGACTGGCGGGAGAATCGTTCTTCGATCGCATGGAGCTTGATCTCGAGAGTTGAAAGATTGCTCTCCAGCCTTTCTACCACGGGGTTGGGTTCCTCTTCTCTGCTTCCAGGAGGTGGCGGATTGGACAGGAAATCTTGTAATTTCTGGATCTCTTCTTCGACGCCGGATATTCTTTCCTCCTGCTGAGCGATCACACCGGATATTCTTTCTTCTTGTTGAGCAATCACACCGGTTATTCTTTCTTCCTGCTGAGCAATCACACCGGATATTCTTTCTTCCTGTTGGGAAATTTCTGCTCGCAGTTCTGCTGCCTGGTTAGCCATGGCCCGGGAGAGGTTGGACACTTCTTCATTAACCTCATGAACCTCGGTGGACATGCTGGACATCTCGGAGGACAGGCTGGTCATCTTTTCAGCAAGCTCATCTCGCTGATTGGACATCTCGGAGGACAGGCTGGTCATCTTTTCAGCAAGCTCATTTCTCTGATCGGAGATCTCGGTGGAGAGTTTAGAAACTTTTTCAATAACCCCCCGTAGACAGGTTAACCATCTTTTCTGCAAGCTCATCTCGCTGATTGGACATCTCGGTGGACAGGTTGGACATCTTTTCGGCAAGCTCGGCGTGGATAAAGGACTTCACAGCCTTCAGGGAGGGATCTTCAAACTCTATGGCATCAGGATCGTCACCTCGACTTTCGTAGTACTCCCTCAAACGTGCTACCAACACCGTCTTGGGTCCCGTTGTGTCTAGCTCAAGTTCTTCTAGCTCTCTTCTGAGCTCTGCAACCAGCAACTGATTTATCTTCTTTCTTCATCCCACTTCTGACACCAATTGTAACACGAGTGTGGGTTGAAACCATTTATTTAATTAAAATACAAAATAACTATCCCAACGCGTAAACTATTTACAATTATTACTATTTACAATTGAAACGTTGATCCGCCACGCGCTGACCGGCTTTCTATCTTCCACTAAAAATTGACAGTGTCATATCATCAATAATCCATGGTAACCGCTTCCATGACCGTTCTCGATCATTCTTCACACTTTCTCCAAGTTTCTGTCAGCCTGCCCGATTGTAGGTTGGGTTTCCTGTCACCTTGACGGTTCGTTGTCTCGTACTGTTGTGGCAAACCCTGGCACTGTCTCGTCCGTAGAGCCAAACCGTTACATTATTGAACTTATAAAGCAAATGAAGGGTACAGGAGGAAAAAAGGAGGTAAGTCACATTTTTAATTATCTGGTACCGCCGTATTTTGTAAAATACCTGTATGTTTCCATGTAATAAGCCAAATTATGTCCAAGGACTAAGCACCATTTTCTACTGTTTAGTTTGTTCTTTTAATATTTCGATAAAAAAATTACAACTGTTTAGTCAACATAATTAGGCAAAAATTTCAGTGTAAATTTAAATTTGCTTTCCTGAACATATTATTAATTGTAACTTGACACCTTTTTTCCCTGCACCCTTCACAAAAAGTGAGGCATAAGTAAAAAAATGCACATGCAAAGTCAGATTTCTTTCCTGACTAGGCTGCTTGGTTTTCTACAATGCAATATTGTTGACTAAACGGCGGTTTGAAGAAAGTTTATACTGAAATAAATAAAAAAAATCGTAAAAAGTAACAATCTGAATTAAATCGATATAAAAATCAACTGTGTTATGCAGCAGGGAAAGTGAAGGTATAAATTAAAAAAGGTACAGTGACTATTACTTCACTGACTAGGCTGTTGTGTTTTTAACGATGAACTGCTTGAAGAAAGTTTGTACTAGAACAAATAAAAACACAGTATGAGTAACAATATGAATTAAATCAATATAAAAAGCAGGGAAAGTGTGGCATGAGTAAAAAATGTACCGTGACTGTTACTTTACTGACTTGGCTATTTTATCTTCAACGATGCAATACTGAATTTTTCTGTTGATTGTTTCAAACCTTCACAACTAGTTGAAGACTCAGAGTATGTAACCAAATTGCGTTGAATAACATACTCAAAATGTATATCATTTGAAATTGAAGGAAGTTCGTCTGGTACATGATCAATACCCAGAACTTCTGATTCTCAGAGGAATAGTGTTCGATATACTTTAACAGTTAGATCTATGTTAGTACCAGGGACTTTAAACTTATCTTTAAAATGTTTATCATGTACTAAATAGTTTTAATAAATTTCTTGTCTTGTTTTTCTATAGAATAATTAATAGCCAAATTTTAAATAAATTAATATTAGGATCGGGTCTGGAAAAACGATGCCATTTTAGTATGTTTGCAAAACAATTTGACACACAAGAATACAGTATATTTAAACTTTTAAAGAAAGAAACATCACAAAAATTTAAAATAAGCTTACAATCATCAACAAGATCAAGTAAACAATTTAAAAAACACAGCTGAACAAGACCAAGTTGACAATACAATAAACAATAATTTTCAAACTACTCACCATTTATCATCCAGCTACCATTTATTCATTCAGGAACCCAAAAGTCCCAAATACAAAGAAAGAATGTTTATTGACAATATAAATCACAATAAATACTGGTAATGGATGGCAATGAAATGACATTCCTTCCCCAACTTCCACTCTTTCCACCACGGCTGGTAAGTTTCTGTAAATTGAACATACAGCGCCACGAGCGCTAATTCTTTGAAACTAAAACATGGTTTCAATTACCGGTACCTGGAGAGAGCAGATCTGCTTTTCTGTACCGGGTTTTTATGGTTTGTTAACGCAACACGTCGTGTAAACTCGGTTATCAGTTAGAAGTGGGAAATTGAAATTGTCGTCCGTTTACTAATAGGAAACCTCTATAGAAGTAATCATACACGGTAAACGTGTGAAAACTCGAATTTTTGACATTAGGACTAAATAGTGATTAGTAAAAATAAATAGTTATTAATTATACATATGAAAAAAGTATTTGATTTCGGTTCAAGGTTGTGTTGTCTCCCGACGCAAAGCAGAGGGAGACAAAAAAAATCGAGAGTTTAAATCTAATGTTTTTCCCGTGTATAATTCACAACTTTTTTCTGTAACTGGAAAAACGACGACTTAATATTGAAAAAATATTCTTAAATATCTATACCTCTACTTATTCGTATATATATCCGGGAAAAAAGTATTCACTTATTTCCTGGGAAAACTTTTTTCCTGGGGAAAAAAGTAATTATAAAAAGAGACATTTTGTTACCTGACAAGAGAGTTAAATGTCAAACTTTTTCCTGTCACAGAAAAAATATTATATTTGATTTTCCGACGAATTCTATGTTTCTTAAACGAAAAATAAATAAATGTGACCTTATTTAGACGAAATGACAAATGATGAAATATAAATAAAATGTTGATTTTGGTTTTCCGATGGATTCTATATTTCGCAAATAATTAAATAAAAGTAACTTTGTTACAGTCGGTATAGATTAACTGTCAAAATTAGAAAATATTTGGTACGTATGGTATACTCTATACTGCCTAGTAGTAACTAGGAAAAATATGTCAAAATTTCAATACTGGCTTCGGTATTTATGTTTTTTGTGTACAGTGATGGCCACTGAACATCTTTTAATACGCCTTGTAGGGTCCGATTACAAATAGAAGAACACAGGTACGTTATCATTTGACAAAGTAATTAATTGGTTATCGCCTCCTTCTGGGGGTTTAGTGGAGTGTTAGTATTATAGGAATATAGAAATTCTTTTTTTAAACCAAACAATGTACTTATTTTTTAATTTAAGATAGTTATAGATAATATGTACCTACTCAAAATTCGAAGTAACGGTTATGACGCAGCTGTGTTCTTCTAATTGTAATCGGACCCTACAACTAAAAACATTACATCTACATAGACTGATTAAAAAAAAAATACATAAGCATTTTTTTTACACCACAGACCATAGATTTAGATAAAAAATATGTGTATGCGTATGTGTGTGTGTGTGTGTGGACGAGTGTGTGATTGCGAACGTTCGTGTGTATGTGTAATTCTGTGTCTAATTAGATTTTGGATATAGTAGGAGGATCTGGGGGTACTTTATAGTGGTATTTTTTCTACCTTAAGGTCTATAACTGTTATTTACGCTTTGAGAAGAAAATTTGTCAAATATAAGTTGCTTGCCATATCATTAATTTTTGGCTCTAGCATTATTTGCCAGTTGTAGAATTTTACGTGGGTGAACACAACTTACTTTACTTTACTATTTTGATAAAATAAAATATATTATTTGACTATTATATAGGTTATTATTATCATATGGGCACGAAAGAGATATGTTTTATTTTATAAGACAAAGAATTATCTTCTTCGCACTAATAGACTATCTTGTATATATACTAGTGAATCTTTGGAGAAGTGAAAAATTAAGCCCATTCTTGCGTCTAAATATATTAACTCTGTTAAATTTATTAAACTGACCAGTGCATCAAAATAATTCCAGTTTATTCAAATGTTTTTCTCATTTTTTTTTAGTTAGCAATGGAAATCAAAAGCCTTTTATCGGATGTCGAAACTGAAAAACGCATTCAAAAGAAGCCAGATGTTGTTGTACATGGAAAATACTTAAAAAAAGATATTGATAGTGATATGGAACCTATTTATGATGAAGACTTAGCAGCAATTCATCCTATATCGGAACGGGAAATTTTGGAACTCTTAGAAAAAAGATTAGAATTGGGAGATATTTATACTTATATTGGGGACCTATTATTAAGCCTCAATCCTAACGAAAGAAAATCTATTTTTGGAAACGATGTAAGTTTTACTAATTTCGTAATATTCTGTTTAATACTTTAATAAATATTTCCCCAATACCTATTGGTAGACCTAGGCGATTATAACGCTTTTATTTCATAATTTTACTGTAACAAAATCAATCCTAACATAAAAATACTTATACTAGTACAAAAATTATTGTTCTTAGCAGTCTCAAAAATGCACTTTTTTTCACGAGTGAAAAATGTTATTATCACTATTAAAAGTAGGCTTTTGCGCTTCGAAATCCATCCACTAAGTGGATATTTTCCGCGAATTGACATAAAGTGACAGGTTGGTCTCTCGCCTGGCGACAAAATTGACAGCTTTGTTAACAGCCTAATTTTAATTTGGTATAATATAATATGTATAATAAAGATTTCTAAACAAACAGAAACACACAAATCTCTGTACAATATTAACGCACTAATATACTTTAAATATTATAATAAATTAGTATGTTAATGGGAATATAGTACCATAGAAGATAGACCTAAGAAACAATATAATAAGTAATAGCCTAATAATAATGTAATGAAATGCCAATGAACTGCTGCAGCAACAATAAGAATTGCAACCAATTCTAGATATAGAAAACCTACACATGTGTGCCGCGGGCTATACATACCACTCTTGCACAGAATTCTTTCTCTGTAATAGACTTTAAAAGTCTAGGGCGGTGCGTGTTGCAAATAACTTCTGGATTTCAAATGTCCTTTACTAATGTTAAAACTAAAAATGTACCTTCCTTTAACTTGTTTATTTAAATCTTGGTACACTCTAATATAAACGATAACATTTTTAAACACTGTACTTAAATTACTAGTTTACATTATTTGGTAATTAAACGTCGGCTTGTAACATCTTACTATATTGTAAGAACATCGCAGAGAGAAATTGAAAAATTAAGTGTGCTGGTCGAAGAAAAACATGATTCTGGTCTCTTAACTAACGCTTTGCGCTTGGCGAGTTGTACGTGACTCAAGATGTTGAATTTCTATTGGTCGATAAACAATCGTATGAGCTTTTTGGGAGAGACAACGACTTTATTTGTTGATTTACTTTGAACCGTTAATGAGAGTGACGGAAATAGACTTATATGAAGGGAAAGATGTAGTTTAAATTATTTTAACCGTTTTGTTTTTGTTAGGATGAATCAATTCTAATAATAACTTTTTTATTGTATTGTACAACATACCGGGATATTCAATAATTTATAATCAAGGCCACTTTTACCAAAACGACGGCACAGTGATGTATATTAAAAATGATTACGATTTCGATTATAAAATTGTATGTATAGATAATGTTAAATTTATAAAATCTCAAATTAGAACTCCCGAAAAAAAAATAATTTGTATTACTGCATGCTACAGGTCACCATCCTCAGATATTAAAGCCTTTGCCAAAACATTACAAACGTACTTCGACGCACAACAAACAGAAAACAATGATTATAACATTTTTGTCGGGGACATTAATATTAACCTACTGGAAAACAATGACAATAATACAGAATATCTCAACACACTAAACGAACACGGATACATTTCTACTATAAATAAAGCAACTAGAGGTAGATCCTGTCTTGATCATATCTTTTTCAAAACCAAAAATTCCGAATCTAGTGAGATGATTCTACCTCTAATTGTTCCAACAAATATAACAGATCTTTCAACCGTAATATTACAAATAATTATTAACGATAATAAAATTATAAATAATTCAATTCCTAAGGTAGTAAAATATTTGAACTATGATAAAATTTATAAAAAATTAGAAGGTCTTTCTTGGGACTCGCGAGGAAGATCCAAATATAGCAACAAAAATTTTCATAAACACGATCCAAAATATCAGCTATGCACTGAGGAGAAAAAAGTTTATAGAAAAAATACCAAAATAGCGCCATGGATGACAAACCCCATATTAAAAACTGTAAATGAAAAAAATCGTATATTCAAAATTTTAACAAAACATCCTCTAAATGATAATCTAAAACAGCAATATAATTTACTAAAAAATAGGCTAACTAATTTAATTAATATTACTAAAAAGAAATATTACACTAACTTAATTAAGTCAGACAGTACAAACACAAGACAACTTTGGAAAATTGTACAAGAAGTTACAGGTTCAAAAGCTAAAACTAAAACAGATGGACCTATAAAAAACGAACATGGAGTCTTACTCACTGAGAATAAAAGCATTGCAAAGGAATTTAATTTAAAATTTATAAATATGGGACCCACTCTTGCTAAAAAAATAGACAGACATTCGCAGACAAAAACAAAATTTAACAGCACTATTTTACAAAATTCAATAGTTTTAAATCACGCAGATAAGAAAGAAATAACTGAAATAATTAAAGAACTCAAAAATGATAAATCTCCCGGAATAGATGATATAAAAGCAGAATATATTAAATCAATTACAAAGTATATTGTAGACCCACTAGAACACATAATAAATAGATGTCTAGACTATGGGACTTGGCCTGAATCGTTCAAAGAAACAATAGTGTGCCCCATATATAAAAATGGAGAAAAAACATCAGTTAATAACTATAGGCCCATATCTCTTATAACTCATTTATCAAAAATCCTAGAAAAAATCCTAAAAAAAAGATTAATTAGCTTTATAGAAAAATATAACCTAATATCCAAGCAACAGTTTGGATTTAAAGAAAATACTTCAACTGAGGATGCTATACTAGAACTAACGGAGAAGATCCACTCATCATTAGAAAAAGGAAAACCCTGTCTTTGTCTATTTATAGACCTAAGTAAAGCATTCGACACGGTTAATCACCGCCTGTTGCTGAAAACTTTGGAAAATATTGGAATTAGAGGAAATTGCCTAGAAATATTTAGGAGTTATCTGAATGAGAGAAAACAGCTAGTTAAAATAGGTAATGAATATAGCAATTTCGAATACATAGAGTGTGGCGTACCCCAAGGTACAGTTTTGGGACCCTTGTTGTTCAATTTGTATATAAATGATATATTTCAATTAAATAGATCTGGATATATAATTGGTTATGCCGACGACACCGCAATTTTTTATGAGGCAAACAATTGGTTAGAGCTAAAGAAAAAAGTAGAAATAGATTTCACCATTATAAAAAATTGGCTTGATAACAAACTTTTAACTGTTAACTTGGACAAAACAAAATTTCTACCTTTTAGTTGTAATGTCACAGGGGCTTCTCCTTTTCAAACTTTGGAATTTCCTACAAGTGCTAACTTAATAGATATACGATCGGTCTCAGAAATGAAATACTTGGGAGTGCATATCGATACACATTTAAAATGGGATATCCAGATAAACTACATTGTTAAAAAGTTACAGTCAATTTTACATAAATTTAAACAGCTTAGTAAATGCCTACCGCAGCATGAGTTAAAAAAACTATATTCAGCACTTGTTGAAAGTCACCTGAGATATGCAATAACAGCTTGGGGTTCTGCTTTAAAGGTTCACTTAACACCGTTAGAAATAATCCAAAAAAGATTTCTAAAATTAATAATGGACAAACTCTATAGATATCCAACCGAAAATCTATTCGCAGAAAGTAAAGTATTTGATGTCAAACAACTTCTCTTTTTTAGTACCAATGTTAAATACCATTTTGGAAATAAAAAAACTACCATCGCGAACACCACCACTTCACTAGAAATTACAATCTTCACACTTACCCAATAATAGTCAAAAAATCAATTTCTCAACGAGCATACTCTTATGTCGCTTTAAAATGTTACAATACTTTGCCTGAAACACTAAAAAGAATAAATAATAAAAATTTGTTTAAAACAAAGCTGAAGTTGTTTATAATGGAAAACCACAGACAATTCATATCTAATATTTTAGGATAAGTTTTACCTAAATTCCAAAATCTATTAAAAAAAAAAAAAAAAAAAAAAAACTTATGAAATGTTATTAAAAAAAAAAAATTAGAATTTTGCTATTTCCAAAATAAGAAACACTTACCCGGATTATACATACTTACATGACTTGACAAAACTAGCCAGATTAGACATACTTACTTGGATATAACATTAACATTATCTATTTTCTTCTATTATTAAATAAATATAATTATATATATATATATATATATATATATATATATATATATATATATTATTTTTTTTTTACCGTAATTAGAATAATTAATTCATGTAATTAGGATAATTAGATAATAGTGTATATTGTGTACAGCGAAACAAGTACTCACGTACTTATTGCTTCTTACTTTATTCTTGTAAATAATGTTTAATTGTTTCTAAAATTATTTATATTATATTGTATTTGTATACCTACATGAATAAAGTTATATTATTATTATTATTATTATTATTGTTTTTTATGTGATTGAAACATGATTTTTTTATTTTAATAAATTAATTAATGCAAACTATGGATTGAATAATGATGTTATTTTTATGTTGCCTTTCTTTCCATTATTTATAGAAGGTGGATTATAAGAGTAACTGACGTATTTGTTATAAAATGCTTGTCATCAATCGTCCAGGACATAGATTTATCATTGGAGGCGACTTCAATGCAAAACATACCCATTGGGACTCCAGACTAACAACTAATGGTAAAAACCTAAAAAAAATGACAAAACAGTTAAAATCTAAGTCACATTCAACTGGTAAACTACCTTATTGGCCCACACATAGAAATAAAATACCCGATTTGTTGTACGAAATATTTTAGCAAACCAAAATAATAAACAGGAGAAAGGACTGGCAAAGCTTCAGACTGGACCTTGAAAAGAAAATTTACCTTTCTGTTCCATTAACAAAAATAGAACAGCCAGATGAAGAAGTAGAAACTACTTGTGTCTAACATACAGTAAGCAGCATGGGATAATACCACACATATTGCTCTGCGAGCAACAGGAAAAAATCCTAATGAAATAAGGACCCAATCTCTGCAAAAAGAAAACTTAGGAGCTCCATCAGATAAAACCAACCTTAACAACGCCACCCAAC